TGGTGTCAACATATTAAAGGAAATAGGACCTATCACTTATCACAAACATTCAGTGTGCAAGATGTTGGGGAACGTTGTAGAAAACAAAAAAAAATTCTACTCGTTTCACCAAGATCCATCTAGGAGTTCATCTAGCAACGAGTCATCAGATGCATCTACATACCTTTGTAGATCGCGTGCGGAAGCGTTCAAAGAACGGGGATGATGTAGTCGAACACGACGTGATCCAAATCACCGATGACCAAGCGCCGAACGGACGGCACCTCCGCGTTCAACACACGTACGGGACGGGAGACGTCTCCTCCTTCTTGATCCAGCAAGGGGAAAGGAGAGGTTGATGATGATCCAGCAGCACGACGGCGTGGTGGTGGATGCAGGGTGTCACAGTAGCAGGGCTTCGCCTATCCTACAAGAGAGAGGGACGTAACAGGGAGAGAGGGATGCACCAAAAGCCGTGTCTCAAGTCCCTCCTCTCCCCCACTACATATAGGGGTGCTAGGGGGGGGGCGCCGGCCCTAGGAGATGGATCTCCTAGGGGGGGGGGCAAGGGGTGGGGGGCTTGCCCCCCAAGCAAGGGCGTGCCCCCCCTTTAGGGTTTGCCCTATACCCTAGGCGCATGGGCCCTTAGGAGGTGGCGCCCCAGCCCACTATGGGCTGGGTCCCTTCCCACTTCAGCCCATGGGGCCCTCCGGGATAGGTGGCCCCACCCGGTGGACCCCCGGGACCCTTCCGGTGGTCCCGGTACAATACCGGTAACCCCGAAACTTGTCCCGATGGCCGAAACAGCACTTCCTATATATAATTCTTTACCCCCGGACCATTCCGGAACTCCTCGTGACTTCCGGCATCTCATCCGGGACTCTGAACAACATTCGGGCTACTGCATATACATATCTTCACAACCCCAGCGTCACCGAACCTTAAGTGTGTAGACCCTACGGGTTCGGGAGACATGTAGACATGACCGAGACGACTCTCTGGTCAATAACCAACAGCGGGATCTGGATACCCATGTTGGCTCCCACATGCTCCACGATGATCTCATCGGATGAACCACGATGTCGAGGATTCAATCAACCCCGTATACAATTCCCTTTGTCTGTCGGTATGTTACTTGCCCGAGATTCGATCGTGGTATCCCAATACCTCGTTCAATCTCGTTATCGGCAAGTCACTTTACTCGTACCGTAATGCATGATCCTGTGACCAGACACTTGGTCACTTTGAGCTTATTATGATGATGCATTACCGAGTGGGCCCAGTGATACCTCTCCGTCATACGGAGTGACAAATCCCAGTCTTGATCCGTGTCAACCCAACAGACACTTTCGGAGATACCCATAGTCTACCTTTATAGTCACCCAGTTACGTTGTGACGTTTGGTATACCCAAAGCACTCCTACGGTATCCGGGAGTTACATGATCTCATGGTCTAAGGAAAAGATACTTGACATTGCAAAACTCTAGCAAACGAACTATACGATCTTTATGCTATGTTTAGGATTGGGTCTTGTCCATCACATCATTCTCCTAATGATGTGATCTCGTTATCAATGACATCCTATGTCCATAGCCAGGAAACCATGACTATCTATTGATTAACGAGCTAGTCAACTAGAGGCTTACTAGGGACATGTTGGTGTCTGTTATTCACACATGTATTACGATTTCCGGATAACACGATTATAGCATGAATAAAGATAATTATCATGAACAAGGAAATATAATAATAATGCTTTTATTATTGCCTCTAGGGCATATTTCCAACAGTCTCCCACTTGCACTAGAGTCAATAATCTAGTTACATTGTGATGAATCGAACACCCATGGAATTCTGGTGTTGATCATGTTTTGCTCTAGGGAGAGGTTTAGTCAACGGATCTGCTACATTCAGGTCCGTATGTACTTTACAAATCTCTATGTCTCCATCTTGAACATTTTCACGAATGGAGTTGAAGCGACACTTGATGTGCCTTGTCTTCTTGTGAAACCTGGGCTCCTTGGCAAGTGCAATAGCTCCAGTGTTGTCACAGAAGAGCTTGATCGACCCCGACGCATTGGGTATGACTCCGAGGTCAGTGATGAACTCCTTCACCCAAATTGCTTCATGTGCTGCCTCCGAGGCTGCCATGTATTCCGCTTCACATGTAGATCCCGCCACGACGCTCTGCTTGCAACTGCACCAGCTTACTGCCCCACCATTCAAAATATACACGTATCCGGTTTGTGACTTAGAGTCATCCAGATCTGTGTCGAAGCTAGCGTCGACGTAACCCTTTACGACGAGCTCTTCGTCACCTCCATAAACAAGAAACATTTCCTTAGTCCTTTTCAGGTACTTCAGGATATTCTTGACCGCTGTCCAGTGTTCCTTGACGGGATTACTTTGGTACCTTCCTACCAAACTTACGGCAAGATTTACATCAGGTCTGGTACACAGCATGGCATACATAGGGGATGACACTCATCTCTTCTATTTCTTCTGCCGTGGTCGGACTTTGAGCTGAGCTCAATTTCATACCTTGTAACACAGGCAAGAACCCCTTCTTAGATTGATCCATATTGAACTTCTTCAATATCTTATCAAGGTATGTGCTTTGTGAAAGACCTATGAGGCGTCTCGATCTATCTCTATAGATTTTTTATGCCTAATATATAAGCAGCTTCTCCAAGGTCCTTCATTGAAAAACTCTTATTCAAATAGGCCTTGATGCTGTCCAATAGTTCTATATCATTTCCCATCAAAAGTATGTCATCTACATATAGTATGAGAAATGCTACAGAGCTCCCACTCACTTTCTTGTAAACGCAGGCTTCTCCATAAGTCTGCGTAAACCCAAACGCTTTGATCATCTCATCAAAGCGAATGTTCCAACTTCGAGATGCTTGCACCAGCCCATAAATCGAGCGTTGGAGCTTGCACACCTTGTCAGCATTCTTAGGATCGACAAAACCTTCCGGCTGCATCATATACAATTCCTCCTTAAGGAAACCATTAAGGAATGCCGTTTTGACGTCCATTTGCCATATTTCATAATCGTAAAATGCGGCAATTGCTAACATGATTCGGACGGACTTTAGCTTCGCCACCGGTGAGAAAGTCTCATCACAGTCAACCCCTTGAACTTGCCGCCGGTCCCTCGTGCGCGCGCGCCGCCCTGCTCACCCACCACCCACCACGGGCCCGCCCCGCGGCGAGGCCTGCTCTAGCGCGAGCTCTCTTTGATGGGGGAGAGAGGAACCGGATGCGGGCGTGGCGGTTGGACACGGGCGCTGCTCCTTCCTGGGCGGAGGCATGAGCGAAGAGAGAAGATGGAGAGAGAGGTAGGGACGACCACGGGTGGTTGACACATGGGGCCGAGCGGGACATGCAGCGGACGAGGACGCCACAAGTCGGTCCGTTTCATGTCCGCTTCCACCCAAAGCCAGCCCAAGATTGGGCCGCGGATGCGGTAAAACGGACAAAAAGAGTAAATGAGGTCTGCGGTTAGGTCTCTCCTTTGTCTGTTTATCCTATCCCCAAACGCTCGCGGCCGGACAAGATGGGGTTCTGCGTTGGAGTTGGCCTTATCACCTGAACCAAAACTACATCTGTGCATACACAGTAAAAAAAGGATTTGCTAGACCAGAGTGAGTCGCTTGAAAAAAAAAAGACTCTGATCGCAGCGGAATTTTGGTGGCCATCTGATCTCGCGAGCACACGTGGTCGTGGGGCTGGGCAATATCTCCGGAGCAGAGGAGGCGTGAGAGAACGATGTGCCGGAGAGGCGGCGAACCAATGTTTCCTACGGTGGCCAGTGGCGCGGAGGTCGCCCAACGCCGGCGCCATCCTGTCCGTGGGCTCGAGTAGACTCGTCGCAGCTTGTTCCGTAAGTTTTTTTTTTCGATCTGTAGCAAGATGCTAGGGTTCCTGATGCCTTGGAGATTCTGTTGGGGGTCGTCTTGGTTCTCACAATATTTAGTCCACTTCGGAGCACTCTTTGCTCCAAAAAAAAGAGAGGATGAAATTCGCCATTAGCATGAGGGGGCAGCGTCTCCATCTGTCCTGTGCTCAGGAGTCGCTGGGGAAGAGGAGTCTGCTTTTTTTCTTTCAGAATCCAATTGCTGTGCTAATTTTTAGTTCTGGCAGATAAAGGCTTGCCGATCTTTCTGTGCACACAGTCACTTTGATAGTGTGTTGGTTGTGCGGTACATAGTTTCATTCACTGGGAAACCAAAAAGGACGCAATAAAAAAACACAGAAAACTCTGCAAATTGAACATAACATATTGTCAGTTACATACAGATAGATGATCCTCCAACTGAATAAAGGACCATGATAAAAGTTCTGTGAAATTCATAGACTTCAAAGTCGACTGGGACCAAATACATATTTAATCTAACAACATACATTACACTCTGTAACAGCAGAAAGCCCACCGAATTGACATGCATGAGAACAAACTCATCTATTATTGGAAGCAAAAGTACAGAGAGGACGAAAAGCACTTGATCATCTTCAGGAGACAGAGCTCATAGCTCTAGCAGTCTATCTGGTACAGCGCGCACCATCTGAGGGATACAATCCATCATTAGAAACTGATCACACAATGTATTACAGGTTCATTATAGTCCAAACTGAACCAACTACTCAAGCAAAGTTTTACAAGTGAACTACAAACAAAATTAAACAGAGCAACCTGAATATTCAGTGTGCACTTTACCACACTCCACAAACATATAGAAACATGGCACACAAAAAGTGGTCACAGCATCTGTAGCACTACAAAATATACATTGGGGTCTCTACTTCCAGGGTAAACATAATTATGTCTACTTCAAGAAGATAAAATTCGAACACTACAACTATCTACATCACCATTTCTAGATCAACCCCATTCAGAAGCACACTATCACACTATAAAAACACTAATTTACCAGCTTCAGTATCAGTAATCACCTGAATTTGTTATTACCTGTATGCCATCTACCATCTGCTGATCCTCTCAAATCACCACCCCTTAGGTCTTCTTTTTAAAACTTTCCATGTTGTTGATTGGACAACATTCTTGTTGTGCATTAGCAAAGGCATCGTGATTCACCGAGAAGGTCGCATTATCAGTAGTGACTGGCGCCACATGGATTTTTGCAGCCATCACACTTCCCATCTCAGAAGTAACAACTTGTACTTCACAATTAAAAAATAAGCAAGTAATGTCACGTGTGTGCTGAAGAGAGTATATGTACAACTCAACACACCTCTAGAATTAACATAAGTAGAAATTAAGAAGAAAAAAAGATGCACATACAATACTTAGTTAATTACCAGAATATTCTTGTTGTGCATTAGCAGAAGCGTCATGATTCACCGGCAATGTCATATTAGTAGTAGCAGCTGGTGCCATGGGGATTTCCACAGCAGGCTCACTTTTCAGCTCAGAAGTAGCAATCGGTACTGCACAATAAAAAACAAATGTCATGTGCCTGTGTGAAGAGAGTTTATATATAACTTAACACACCCCAAGAAATAACCAAAGTAGCAATTGACAAGAATAAGATGCACATACAAGCTTGCTTACCGGACTCTCCATTCGAAATGGCACCGGGAGGCGTTGTCATTGATAACGTCGTAGCAGTAGGCGGTATCACAGGGCTATCAAAATTCCCTGCAAGCTTGCTTCCCACATGAACTTCTTGGGCCATCATATCAGTAATTGTTGCCGCAGGGGTAAATTTCGCAGTAGGCTCATTAACCATTTCTCTCGTGACGAATAAGAGCTTGGGATATCTTGGGTGTCTCTTTGCTGCTTCTTTCCAGTCCTGTTTTGTTTGGTTGCTCAGTCCATCATGAAGAGCAACCTCCTTAAGACGTGGTAGGCACTGGATCGTGGTCCCACTAAAGCCATTCATGTTCTTACATAGCAACTGGAGTGCTTCGACACGTGGCATAGCTCCCTCTTGGATTTCCAGCTCAGTCATGACTTCTACCATGACGCATAGGCGTTGTAGGCTTCTGAGTGCGCCTTGTCCAATGACAAGCTTGTCCAGTTGAGTTGCAATCAGCTTCAGGTACTCCAAGCCACTCACTCTGCTCAGGGAATCTAGAAAGTTACCACTCAGCTTATAATCATCAGGGAATGACAGACACAACTTAGTGAGACCACCCAGCATGATTACAAACAGAGGCAGCTGGCTGCATATTCTGTTCCCTCGTAGCTTGAGTGAGCTAAGGTAGTAGGAGTTATCCCTATCCATGGAGAAATCCAGAAAGTCTTGGGACCATTCATCGTTGATGTTCAGAGAGAGTGAACGAGCTTCGTTTGGTTGGGTGCCTCTCTGGATGAACCCCTTGATGGCTTTTGAGAGATGACTTAAGTTGTTGTTGGCAAAGGCATTGGTGCCGGTGGACTCGCACCATACTTTTACCTTTGTCAGGTACTCCATATGATCCATGAGCTGTGGCAATTCTTGGCTCTTGTCCACAACAAATCCGGACAGCGTTTCTAATTTGCTGTTCTCTGATAACCAAGTCTTTAGCTTACCCATTCTCCGGTCTCCGACATTGTGTTGGAGCTTGAACTTTCCAAACAGATGAACTAAACATGGCAGCTCCATGACTTGTGCGGGCAGAATCTCTATCTTGGTTTTTCTTATGTCCAATGTCTCCAAAAATTGAAGCTTCTTGACCTCTTTGGGAAGCACAGTAACCATAACAGCGCCCCCGAGGCTTAGGTATCTGAGCAGCAACAGGTTGCATATCTCCTTGAGATGCTTGTCATCCAAGTGTTCATTGCACTCTTCTAGATCCAAGACACGCAACAGTTTGTACATGGAAAAGTCCAAGACAGATTTGTGCGCCTTACCGAAGACTGTCAGGGACCGGACAAGACGTAAACTCTTTGGATTCATTTTGGACCTTTCAACAGTTTTATTGTGCAGTGAAAGCCAACGGATATTACTCCCAGGTAGGGGATCCTTATGATACAATGATGTAACAAAGTCTTCACACATGGACTTGTGCAGGATGAACTCGAGCATCATGCCATGAGTCTGGCATTTCTTCACCTCTGCACCGCTGGCATGAATAGGTTGAATGATACTCCGATTGACCAGCTCATTAAAACAGTCAATAGCAACACTGAGGGCACTGCGTCTATTGTCTTCGTTGATGAGTCCTTCAGCTAACAATCTCCTTATCAGAATTCCTCTTCTGATTGGATGGCCACTTGAGTAAATACTCAGATATAGCAAGCAGGTCTTGACATCTTCACTACCAAGGCTAGTGTAGCTATGGACGAGCACACGCTTCATTCTTGCTAAGGTATTTTCTGTCTCCAAATGTTTGCCAAGGTATTTGCATAGATTTCCCCACCTTTCTGGATTCCCTCTACTTTGCAAGAACTGGGCAGTGGTAACAAGAGCAAGGGGTAGACCATCACATTTGGTCAGTGCTTGTGAAGTACTAAGCTGCAAGCGATCACCAGGTGCTGGTGCATCTTCCAAGAAAGCTTCTTTGAGGAACAATTGTCTTGAATGTTCCTCGGCTAGAGTTTTCATCACATAGACATGACCATGGGTGGTGCTGCAGGCATTTGCTATGGACTGAATGGCTGTCGTCACCATAACTATGCTGCTCACTCCCGGAACAACAGGGAAGGCATCTTTTATATCGTGCCAAAATGCGGCTCGTATGTCATCAATCACAATGAAGAACCTGACAAGAGTTAGATTGACAAATCATAAGAACTATTACAAGATATTCGATCTTCAGACAAAGCAAGTAGATTTGTGTCACTATAATAGGGATCTGTTTCAACTAGAAAGAAAGAAGAATTAAAGAAATAGGAATTATCATCAAAGAGAAAAAAAGGAAGGATTGAAATAGGAATTATCGTCATCATAGATACATACAGTGTTATGTTAAGAAATATGGTATCGATGGTTAGTGTTTGTGCCACAATATTAATAAGATTCATACATTGTTATGCTAAGATCACCTTACACTTAAACAATATGATACACCTTGATATGTTTTTACTAGGTTCGGTTGCTTTGAAGAGCACGACTGAGTCCTGTGTAGAGAGGAGACACCCACATACGACTCAACGAAGCACTCAAAGTTTAGCCGATGGTGTGATCTAAAATTCATGATATTCGCTTGTTAGGGCATCTCGAGCCGCGCCCCCAGGAAGGCCTCCCCAGGCGATTTTTTCGCGCCGGCGCCGAAAAAATGGCCCAGTCGCGCCCCAGGAGCCCGATTTTCGCCGGCTTGGGCCGAAAACAGCGCCGGCGGACCCAGGCCAAACCCGGCGCGCTGGAGGGCGCCCGAGGGCGCCGGGGCGAGCTGTTTTGGCGCGAAAAAGACGCGGGCCAGCCGCGTCAGCGACTCGGCGCCTCGTCTTTCCCCAACGGCCTCGGTTCCCGCAGGGAATCAATGGCAAGGCTGCCGCCGGTCAGCCTTGCCATTGATTCCTCACGGGCGGCGCGTTCACGGGACGGCGCGCCGACGCCTCCACTCCCTCGCACGCGTACACACAGGCACGGCCTGGCTATAAAAGCCGGCGGCCTCCACTCACCTGCGCCCACACCAGCCCTGCCCCTCGCCGCCGTCCAGCCCTTCCTCTCCCTACCTCTCCCCGAGCGCCGCCGCCCAGCCCCTCCCTCTACCTCTCCCGAGCCCGCCCAGCCCCGCCTTCGCCATGGCAGAACGCTTCCCCGGAGATACGGAGGCGGCCAACGGCTTCGGCCGCCGTTCGCTCCGCAAACAGGAGTCCTGGCTCCTGTTCCAGGCGAACATCCCGGCGTCGCCGGACATGCGCGCCGGGCCGACGGGGTGGAGACTCAGCGCCGGGGGAGTGCCCATTCCCCCGTTGCCCGACGCCGTGGCGGACCCGAGGTACTTCGCCGAGGAGGTCGAGATCGTGCGCGCGTCCCTCACCGACGCCGAGCTCTCCCTCCCCCAGTACGCCGTCGACAACCACGCGGCCTGGGCGGCGTATTTCGAGCGCCGCCAACAGCAGCGCTTGGCGTCCACCAACGGCGGGCCGGTGGTCGGCAGCCGGCAGAACGGCGAGGGACGCTACCTCTGGTGGGGCGTCCCCGGCCGCACACTCGAGGGCGTGTTCACGTACCTCGAGGGCGGCAACGACCCGCCGTTGGCGTACCCCCCGGCGAGGGTGGCCGCCCCGGCGCAGCACCGACGCGCCGGGCCATGGGCTCCAAGGAGGTTCGGCGCCTCCTCTTCTTCCCCCTCATCCCGTTCTTCTTCACACTCCTCCGGCTCTCCAGCGCTGCTCGGCGTCAAGGCCGAGCCCGCGGCGGAGACGCCGCTCGGCCGGCGCATTCGCAGCGCCGGCATCGTCATCAACGAGGGCGGCCGGCGCACCCCCTCGTCGGCTCCTCCGCGCTTCATCAAGCCAAAGACGGAGCCGGGGCTGGCGCCGGTGAAGACGGAGCCGGGACTGGCGCCGGTGAAGGCCGAGTTCGACGACGACGGCGACGCCGCCCTCGAATGGGCGCGCCAGGACTCCATTGCGATGGAGAAGGCGCGCCGCGAGAAGGAGAAGGAGCGCCAGCGCGCCGCCCTACGCCGCTTCGAGGAGCGCCGCCACGGCCGCGAGGAAGGCGGGGTCGTCGTCTTGTGCGACAGCGACGACGACGACTACGCGCCGCCGCCTGTTCGCCATGGCGACGCCGGGGAGGGGTCCAACAGGGACGCCCGCGTCAAGGAGGAGAAGGCCGACGACGACGATGGCGGCGACGACTTCGGCCCCTTTCTCTTTTTTTTTAGATTAGGTTCATGTAATGTTTGGCCGAATTTCGCTGAAATTTGTAATGTTTGCCGAAATTTAACTAGTTTTTATCATAACTTCGCCGAACGGTTCTGTTTTTTTAAGATACGCGCCTGGGGCGGCCCTAGGGGCCGACGGCTGGGGACCGACTCGCCCCAGTGCCATTTTTTTCGCCGGCTCACCCCCAGGCGGCGCTTTTAGACGCCCCCTGGGGAGCCAACGGCTGGAGATGCCCTTAGTGGGATTCGCTTGTTAGTGGAAGCACAGATTGGAAAGTGCGCAAGGAAGGCAGAATTGATATGACAATTTGGTTTATTTACATCTAGGTTATTATGTTCTTCATTTTTTTATCATGTTTCTCATTTAAGTACATAGAGTCCTTATAAGTCTATAAGCAACTACTTCGATGTGGAAGTGTTCTTTATTGAGTGTACATGACTGATGATAATTCATATAGCTGGCATTTGGTAGCAAATCAATGGTATTAGACACTTCTTTTCTACTATGATAAATAATTTCGCAAAGCATTATGAGTTGTAGGGTTTGTTTTCACTTCCTCTGTAAGATAGTATTGGAGCACATCATGAAAATAAGGTGGAAATCGTATATGTGCTTCATGTCTAGCTGTTTTAGTTGCCATCTCAGAGAAATTAAATCAATAAAGAGTGTCTGCTTGGTTTTGAAAACAAAGTAACTTTAATTTTATCAACAACATTGCACTTATGTCTTGCTAACCACAAAATAAAAATAGTCCAAATTGCACTGCTAAACTTGTCTGTTTATCCAAGCTGGATGTACACATGCATATTTTCTTACTCGTGACTATTAGAAACGTATAATAAACTGCATGGTCCTTTTGATATAAATTAATTAATAAGCTCTGTTGGTGTGTACAAATATATCGTGCACTAGTACTTATTTATGTAGACATGTGCGGATTATTTAACGACATGTGCGGATTATTTAACATAACCCCAAATAAGAGTAATATCACAATTTTTATTGCAAATTAAAATGGTTGGGGTATGTACATAGATTAGATATATAGATATACCTCTTGCTTCCGAGGCACTCCCTGAGGCTTGCGCGGAGCTTCCTGAGATGGCAGGAGCTGCTGCCTGAAACTCCAAGCTGCCGGAGTATTCCCTTGAGAACATCTCTTGCATCTTTGTCCGCAGCACGAACCCAAGCCCGTACGTGGTATTCCCCTTCCTCAACCGTGTCGTCGTAGGCTTGCCGGGCGAGAAGAGTCTTCCCTATTCCACCGAACCCAACAAGGGAGATCACCTTGAGATCCTCGGGTTGTTGCCCCCTTATCATCTCCAGGAGCTCATCCCGCTGAGCGTCGATGCCCACGGCCACGGTGTCCGTCTCCGTATCCTCATCATCATCAGGTACCAAGTTGCAGCTGGATCCGGTGTTGCCGGTGTGGAAGTTTGTTGTGGGCACGGAGGATGCATCTGGCTCGTACTTGTTTCGCAGCATGGCTGCCTCGGCTGATTTCTTCTTGAGACGGCGGATGGCCGCAGCAAACTGGTTACGGGCCCTCACCGTCTTCACCCGGTGGAGTTTCCGACGGATCCACGACGTGCCGGACGCGAGCGCCACGCGGTGCGTGAAGCTGTCGACGCAGTCCTCGATCTCGCGCGCCAGCTCACGCACCATCGCGATCCAGCGGCCGTGGACGTCGTCGTCGCCGCCCCTCCTCCTCCCGCCATCTTGTCGGATGACGGCAGAGATCATGAGAAGCTCCTTCTTGATGGACTCGATGTCATGCTCCAGATCCGCGCGCACCCTGCGATTTGCTAGCAGCAGGTCATAGAGCTTAGGCGCGAGCTTGCCGACCGCGGTGCCAACCGCAGCTGCTTCCATCGTCTTCTCCGCACACCAATTTCACTCCATTATACACACACACTCTCTCTCTCTCTCTATATATATATATCCTCTCTGTACAGAGAGAGGTCGGGAACAGATTAGTGGCATTCGCTCTGCTTCTGTCTGCATTGTGTGTGGTGTGGTGGTCGAGCTGTGACTGTGAGTGATGATGAGAAGAACAGTGACTGCACTGCACTGCCTACTGTGTGGCAGACCTTGGATGCCCGCAGCCCGTCTCAGGGACCGAATGACCGATGTGACCCGACGGCTGTCGGAAGGCACATAGGCTGGCTTTATTGAAGTGATAGGCCTGGCTCCCTGGCATAGACGGACTGCCGTGACCAGACGTCTGCGGTAGGCACATGGGATGCTACCTGCTGCCCCTCATAATTTTCACAAACCCTTTTACAAAACTGCCCTCTCTGTCCGGTGCAAGGGCAAAAAAGTTTCTTCGCTTTCCTTCTCGACAAATAGTGGATTTTGAGAAAAAGGGTTTCCCCGCTTTGTATTACAAAGCAACCATCCGATACAATCAACGATAGGTGAGGGGGCGGAAGCAGCACAAACACGCCCAAAAGAAAAGAAAAGAAAATGAAAAAGAAACAAATGCCGACAACGGCAGGTCGACGAAACAAAGATGACCAGTGACCGCTGCACCCACCGGAGAAGTACCACCGCGCTTCTAGCACTCCGAGACGTCGCGTACCGAGCAGCACCTTCATGAAGGAATGCGACGACGACGCCGCTGCTGCAGAGGATAGTGGGGAAGGGGCAGATCCGACGCCCTTCAGGAAGGTCCGGCGGCGCCCACAGGCGTCACCGCGTCGGTGATGGACGAGCCACCAGGGATTTCTCCCAACCCAAACAACCACCACCATCCCGGATGATCGAAAGTGCCCCACCAGAACTGCCGCCCACCAACATGTGCCACCATAGTCACTGAACCATCATCGCCGTCTCACTGAGCCACCGACATGAGACCTCGAGGAGGGACGGGAGGCCAAAGGGCTCGGGGGCAGCCGCAACTCAGCCGATGGGAGGGGACTACCACCACCGCCGACGCGGAGCCGACCGGACGTGACGACAGGAGCTTACCAGGCCCGCACAGGCCCGACCGAACCCCAAAGGATCCGGACAACCCCTGCCGCCACGCTGCAGCACAGCGGCCGACGAAGCCGCCACCACCCGCACCCCTCGACGCCACGCCACCACCACCAGCGAGCCACGCCGCCGCACGCCAGAATGCCGGCCCGCCCCAACCCAGCTGGGGCCCAGAAGAGCCGAGATCTGGGCAGAGCGGAGGCCGGCGGCTAGCCGCACCATCGCGCGCCGCGCAGCCAACGGCCGCGCCACCGCTTCAGAATCGCCCGCGCCCCACAGACTACGCTGCCAGGACGCACCATCACCGGCCGAAGAACACCGCCGCCAGCCACCATCGCCCGCGCGCGGGGACATGCAGGCCCACGGCCGCCGGCACCATGCGGGCAAGGCCCGGCGGCGCGCGCTGGCGGCGGCGGGAGGAGGGAGGAGCTTGGGGGCGCGTGGGAGGGGAGCGGCGGAGCGGCGTCGGGGCCCCCCTGGTCGCCTCGCCCTGGGAGGCGACGCGGAGGGTACAGGGACGGGAGGAGGTGGAGGGAGGAGCG